TAATGTGCAAATATCTAGCACAGAGGATCTCTCATCTCCACTGCCTTACTCCTAAGACTGTTTCAGGTCCAGCCTGACCACCATGTACCACCAAAACGACAGCAGGCTGGAGTTGATGAGCAACAGAGCAGCACAGATATCTGATCAAGATCCTAAAATCCGGGGAGGTGCCCCAGCTGGGACTGAGGTCAAACAGCTGCAAAAAGACAAGGTGGTCACTGATGGAGGATAAATGTTCCTCGGTCCATTCCTGTCTGCTAAACTTGCCCTGGATTTTGACTGGGAGGTGGCAACACAACCAGAAAAGCAAAGGACATCGCAGGAGTTAAAATTAATGCTGATTAGCAGAGAGGCTTTACAGAGAAGGTAAAGCCCTCTTATAAAGTCGAAAAGAAGATTAAAGGACAGTTTCCCTGGAGCCCCAAGAAAGGTCTCCTGGATTAGGATTATAATCCCATCCACTATTTTCAGCAGGTTCATTATGAAGCCACCACTCCCACCTTTCTAAATTTTGGGACACTTTCTGAAAACCAAGCCCAGCCCAGCCAGCTGCGTTAACACAGCAAAGCTTAGCATTGCCCCAGAGCAGACAAACCCTCAGCATCTTGATGTCTGTGGAGAGCCCCATGGGCACCGTGATGCTGCTCCAGCAGCCACAACCCCAGACCTGCCATAGAATCAACTAGGTTGCACAAGACCTTTAAGATCATCAAGCCCAACCATTACCCCAGCACTGCCTAGACCACCACTAAACCATGTCACTAAAGACCCCTTCTACACGGTTTGTGATCACTTCCAAGGATGGTGATTCCACCACTTCCCTGGGCAGCCTGTTCCAATGCCTGATCACCCTCCTAGTGAAAAAATTGTTCCTAATATCCAATCTAAACCTCCTCTGGTGCAGCCTGAGGCTGTTACCTCTTGTCCTATCGTTTGTTACTTCCGAGTAGAGATCAACCCCACCTCACTACAACCTCCTTCGAAGTAGTTGCAGAGAGCAAAAAAGTCCCTCCTGAGCCTTCTCTTCTCCAAACTAAGCCCCCCCCCCCCAGTTCCCTCAGCCTTTCCTCGTCAGCTGGTCCTTCACCAGCTTTGTTGCCCTTCTCTGCACCTGCTCCAGTATCTCTCTTATAGTGAGAGGCCCAGAACTGAACACAGTATTCACATACTCATTCATCTGGGGAACAGGATGGCTGGACTGCAAGGTCCTGCCCTGCCAGTGGGCTGCTTACATAAAGGAATTACCTGAAAAACTGAAACAGGAGCAGAGCATCCCCACCACAGAACCCAGACCCCGTGGGAACACAAAGTCAAAGCCACCTTTATCACAGAAGCAATTACCTAAAGAGCAGAGATTACCCCATTGCTGACTGCAGTGTGGGCATGCCTGGCTCTGCAGGGAGCAATGATGCTGCAGGAGACAAGACCCAGTCGCTCAAGGTGATTTCACTGCAGAAACCACCTGGGGCCAGGCCAGATGGGCCAGCAGTCACTACAAGGTGGTGTCCTGCAAAACTGGACCAGTTTAACTCTACCACCGGGTCCAACCCAGTTGATACAGGCGGGTGCACTTCCACAGAGGTGAAGCTAAGGCAGGTGTGGTTTTGCCACCCACCTCCCCACATACACGCAGTGTTTCACCACACAGAGCTGTATATCTGAGTACCTGCAGGCTGCATGCCCCAAGCGCCCTTTCTCACGCACTGATGAAACCCACCCGATACAGCACACACACCCCCGGGCTTATCTAACCGGGCGCATCCCGGAGCCATTCCCAAGCACCACACCGACGTGGCTGGAGAAAAGGGGACCACGGCAGCGGGGACAGACCCAAGCATGTCCCACCGCCCGCCCTGCGTGGACTCAGCACCACATCAGGCCCTCAGGGGCGAGCTCGGCGTGCCCGGCCACGGGCACCTGTGGCGGGACCCGCACCCCTCACAGGCACCTCAGCGCGGCGGGGCCGGCTGTGCCTCGCCTCACCCCACCGGGGCTGGGCCCTGAGGAACCGACCCCGCCGCTCACCCGCCACCCGCGCGATGGCTCCGCGCAGCCGCTGCCCGCTCATGGGGATGGGGGCGGAAAGCGGAGGAGGGGGCGGTCCCAGCAGCTCCCGCGTCCCCACCGCCGCCACGGCGCGCACTGACGTCAGGCGAGCAGGAGCGCCGCGCCGCGCGGTCACGTGAGCGGAGGGCGGTGGGGCAGACCACGGGAAAGGGGAGGGAGGGGGGGGAAAATGGTCAGTGTGGGGGCGCCAGGACTGAGCAGTGCGGGTTGGGGAGCGCCTGGGGCTGCTTGCGGGCGGGTCAGCTCTGACCTGGCCATGCTGGGAGTTAAGGGGGTTAAAACGAGCCACAGCGCGGCGGGGAGAAACGCGGTGCCCTGGGCTGAACCATTTGTGAGGAGGGGTGGGGGAGGCTGTCTTGGGTCGAACCAAGATGCGGGTAGGTGGGGAGCCGTTGTGGGGCTGAACTATGGCGGAGCAGGGGGAGCCAGTATGGGGCCGAAGCATGGCAGGAATGGGGGGGAGCTTTCATGGGGCTAAACCATGGGGAGGGGGGAATCACAGGGCCGAACCATGGCGGAGATGGGGAGAGTCAATAGGGCGCCAAACCATAGCGGCTATATATGGAACCGTTATGGAGCCAAACTATACTTGGGGGGGCCTTTATGTGTCTAAACCATGGTGGGAAGGGGGGGGAGCCAACATGGGGTTGATGCATGGTGGAGAGGGGACTTGGAAGGTTGCACTGTGATGGGGACGGGGCCATCACCCTACAGCCATGCCATAGGAGCTCTGTGTCTCCTAGGGTGCCCCTGGGAGGCTGCCGTACCTTCTCTTGTCTGCCAGCTCCTTGCACGCTTGATCTGCCCTCACTTACTGGAGTAAGATGGCAGCTGCGAGCCGGGCACTGAGGTGAGTTGGTGGCAGTGGCTGCAGTGCACCAGCGGAGAAGCTGGGCCCGTCGTCGGGAGCCTTGCTGGGAACCGTTTTTTTGGGGTGATGGAGGTTTGTGTCTTCCGTCATGAAGTCCAGCCCAGCCAAGTACAACCTCCTGCACATGGATCAGGGCAATCCCAAGCACAGCTACAGGCTGGGGCAGACTGCACTGAGAGCAGCCCTGAGGAGAAGGACTTGGGTGTGCTGGCTGACAAAAAGCTCACCATGATCCAGCAGTGTGTGCTTGCAGCCCAGAAACCAATTGTGGCCTGGGCTGCATCACCAGCAGGTCAGTTCTGCTCTGGTGAGACCTCCTCTCCTGCAGTCCTGCATCCAGCTCTGGGGCCCCCAGCATAAAAGGGTGTGGAGCTGTTGGAGTGAGTCCGGAGGAGGGTACAATGATGCTCTGAGGGCTGGAGCACCTCTGCAATGGAGACAGGCTGAGAGAGCTGGGCTTGTTCAGCCTGGAGAAGGCTCTAGGGAGACCTTAGAGCAGCTTCCAGTGCCTAAAGGGGCCAACAGGAAATCTGGAGAAGGGTTTTAGACAAGGGCAGGCAAGGGGGAAATGGCTTTGAACTGACAAGAGGGCAGATTTAGATGTGATCTGAGAAGAAGTTCTTTACTGTGTGAGGGTGGTGAGGCCCTGGCACAGGTTGCCCAGAGAAGCTGTGGCTGCCCCGTCCCTGACAGTTCAAGGCCAGGTTGGATGGGGCTTGCAGCAGCCTGGTCTGGTGGAAGGTGTCGCTGCCTGTGGCAGTGGGAGTTGGAAGCGGGTGAGCTTTAAGGTCCCTTCCAACCCCAACCACTCTGAGATTTAACACACTGCGAGGGCATCTCTTGCTCTCACAGCCATGGCTTACCTCACTCACTTCCCTTTTACCTTCCCACCAGCACCCTACGCCTCGACACCATCCTCAGGCTGCCTCCGGTGATCACCCTCTCCAGCCGCAGCAACTCTAACCGCACTTCAGTCTGCCACCTCCACAGGCAGCTCTACGGCCGCCTCTACCCCGTCCTGCTGGTCAAGACCGACGGCTCCACCATCCGCCTGCGCTACAAGGAGCCCAAGCGGATCCTCATGGTGAGGCGGGCGGCGGGGGGCAGGCGGGACGGCTGAGGGCGCGGCTGGGCCGGAGCCTCACGCCGTTCCCTCAGCTGCCCCTCGACAGCAACACGCTGCCCGAGGCGGAGCGCAAGGCGCGGCTGCGGAGGCACTTCCCCAGCAAGCCCAAGGCCGGGCCGGAGGACACCTTCGAGGGCATCGACCTGGGCACCTACGAGCGGTTCTGGAAGAAGTGAGGCGGCGGAACCAGCCTTTAATAAACAAATACAACCGGCAAACGGCTCCTCGTGGTGCCGCCATAGGCGGGCTTTTCCTTTGTGCTCTTTCCTCCCCCCGCCTTCCTTGATGCAGTGGTACGGTCCGCCTCGCAAAGCCACTCTCCCCACCCCGAGCGGTGGTAGCGGCCGGGGCGACCGGGCTCCGCAGGCGGGAGCGAACGCGAGGTGCGTGCGCGGGTCGGGGGGAGGCATGCGTGACCCCAAGGTTTGAACCCGGACCCCCCCCTCGCCCCCAATCCGGTCATGGGGGGACCCCTGAGGCGGGCGCTCACGCACCTCCGGGACGTGCGAAACCCCCCCCCCCCGGACGTGCAACCGCTCTTCCGGGTCGTACGACCGCCCCCCCCCCTCCTTTTTCCAGTGTGTGTACCACCACTGCGTTACCTCGCGTCGTGCAGCTCCCCTTAAACCGCCCAGGCTCTCCCATCTCCTCCTACCCCGTGGCGTCCACCCGTCCACCCCCCCCCCCTTAAGCCCTGCAGCTCCTCTCAGGCTGTGCAACACACCCCCCCCCCCCCATCGGCTGCAGCCCCACCAGCTCCTGTGGACCTCCCTCAACCTGTGTATTAACCCCCACGCCGTCTGTTCTCCGTCCCCCCCAGCAGGCCCTGCCACCCCTCCCCAAGCCGTGCATCCCCCACCAGGCAGTATATCTTTCCCCCCATTTCCTGCCACCCCAGTTCCAGGCTGTACAATTCCCCAGGGTTGTGCACCTCCCCTTCCAGGCTGTGCAGCCCCCTTCACCAAGGATTTGCCTACCCCACCAACTCTAGAGGGGGCACATTTGCTTCCCCCAACTCAGTGACCCTCCCATCATCCCCTACATGGAGGAGCTGGGGGGGCTAAACCTGGGCCTGGCCCCTTTGCAGGTCACCAACGCTGAGGGGTCCGGCATCATGTTTGGCTCGTCCCGAGGAGGAGTGCGAGGGGGCCAGGACCAGTTCAGCTGGGAGGATGTCAAGACAGACAAACAGCGTGAAAACTACCTGGGTGAGGACCGACCTTGGCCAAACCCCTTTCCATCCCCATCCTCCCTGTCCCCCCAGCATGGTTTTGGGGTGCAGATAGATGTTTTGGGGTTTTACTATGTCTTGCTCCCACAGGGAACTCCTTGATGGCGCCGGTGGGCCGGTGGCAGAAGGGGAAGGACCTGACATGGTACGCTAAGGGCAAGAAGGACACAGCCCCTGCACTGTCCCGTGAGGAAGAGCTGGCTGCCGTCCGCCTGGCCGAGCAGGAGGCCATGCTGGCAGCCCTGTGAGTCTGCACCCCCCACCGCCACCGCAAAAACACAGGAGGTGCAAGATATCCCCCACCCATATACACATCACCTGGGTTTTGTTTTATAGGGGCTACAAGAACCTCAAGAGGCAGCCCACCGGGCTCAGCAGGGAGGTAAGGGGGCCCATGCGTCCTGTGTCATCTCCCCTCAGCTCTGTGTGGGGTGTTATGGGGACACACACACACTGAGGACATCCTTGACACCCCACAGGACCTGGCGGAGGTGTGCAAGCGGGATGGCACTGAGCGGGATGAGAAGAACGTGGACCGGGTGGTGGGCTTGGGCAGCTCCAGGTACAGGGAACCAGTGGGTGTTCTGCACCAAAATGCCCCATTTCAGGGCAATTCAATTGTTTAATTTTGCCATTTTAATGTGTTTTTTTGTTGTTGTTTCTGTGTGGTTTGTTTTCATTTGGTGACTCGTCTCTCCCCAGCGGCAGTGCTGGCCGGATAATGCTCTCCAAGGAGGACAAGGAGGCTGCCAAGATGGGGCTTTCTATCTTCACGGTACGGTGCTGTCATCTTCCTTACCAGGTTTAAATCAAAGGTGGAAAAAGGGCAGAAATCCCTGCCCCATGCTCAGGGTGTTTTATTTAAAACCAAAGCTGGTGGCTCTAGCACAGAGGCCTGTGTCCTGTCTGCACAGAGTTAATTTGTGGGGTTTTAATTAGAAACAGCTCTTGTAGGTATTCTAATTTTTTCTGAATTTAATTTTTATTCAATTTTTTTTTTTTTTTTTTTTTCCAAATTAAGTTTAATTTTTTTGTAGAATCCCAGAATGGTTTGGGTTGGAAAGCACTTTAAAGCTCACCCAATTCCAATGCCCTGCCGTGGACAGGGACACCTTCCACTAGACCAGGTTGCTCCAAGCCTTGTCCAGCCTGGCCTTGGACACTGCCAGGGATGGGGCCACCACAGCTTCTCTGGGCAACCTGTGCCAGGGCCTCACCACCCTCACAGGGAAGAACTTCTTCCTCAGATCTCATCTGTATCTCCCCTCTGTCAGTTTAAAGCCATTCCCCCTTGTCCTGTGCTACAAGGAGAAGATCGCTTTTTCTTGTAATTTGAAGCTACAGCCTTACAGACTTGCTCTTTATCTTTTTCCCTCTTTCCAACTGTAGCACCAGAAAGTCTCCAGCAGCCCCGAGATGCCTGTCTCCAAGAAAAAGCAGGAGAAGGAAGAGAAGGTGGAGGAGAAACGGTGAGTATGGAGACTGCCATTTCAGTGGGGAACTATCAGAAATAGCCTATTTTTGCAGGGAAGATACTTTGCAAAATGCTTCTATGGCTCCTTTTGGCACTGGGCTTGCTCTGCATCTGCCTGAATCATCCCCAAAACCTCTGGTTTGCCCCCAAAACCTGTTTGTTATGTTTTCTGTTTTTTTATGGGCACTTGATCAAGGATGGAAGTGGTGAGATGCAGCTGGAGGGAGGGATGGGGGTGAGTGTTTGGAGGAGCCAGATGGATGTGTGTGGAAGGGATCCTCACTGATCTCTTCCCTGCAGACCAGAAGGGAGCAAGAAATCCAAAAAGGAGAAAAAAAAAAAGAAAAAGAAGAAACATAAGAAGGAAAAGAAGAAGGATAAGCATCACAAGAGGGATGCTGCCTCATCGTCCTCAGAGTCTTCTTCGGACGAAGATGACAGGTAGCTCATGGTTGGCAGAGCATCACTGCTGGAAAATGGGCTGAAGGATTTAGGAGAGCTGCATGATCATGACTGGCATCAGGATGCCCCATCAGCATCTCCTGGCTTTCCAAAAGCCCTTTTTCATCCCCAGAATCAGCTTCTTGATGTTCCCTGTGTCTTCACTGTCCCTTACTTGTCCTTACCCATAGGCACCACCGAAGGAAGACCCAGCAGCACCCTGAGCCATCACGGCACAGCGGCCGGCATCGACACAACACAGATTCCTCCAGCAGCAGCAGGGATTCCAGCAGGAGCCCCTCGCACCACCCTGCTCGTCAGCGAAGCCGGAGCAGGGATGGGCATGGCCGGCACCCATCCCCACGGCGCAAGGGGAGGAAGAGGAGCAGGAGCCGGTCCCCTCCTTCCCGTGGGGCCAGGCAGCGCCACAACACCAGTTTGGACTGAGAGGAAGCTTGGGGGTTGTTTTCCAGGGAGAGCTCACAGAGACTGTCTATTTTATAAGGTTATTAAATTAAAGAAGCCACAGCTTTGCTGTTGCTGGGGCTGAGCCCAGCAAAGCACGGTGTGTGGTGCAATGGCAGCTGCCCCTTCCCTGCCCACAGCCCCTGCCTTCAACATGGGACAGCCCCACCAGTGGTGGGGGGCAGCAGGGGGCTGGATCCATCCGTCCAGCCATGATGTAGCTGCGGGGTGGGTGCTGGCACTGGGGTGGTTCTGGCTGCCCTGCTGGAAATGCTGCAAATACTTTGTGTTTATGTAAAGAGACTTACTACTATGCAGTTACTGTGTTTTTAACATGTTCTTTTAAAGCCCTCAAATAGCTGCCAGCAAAGTGGCTGAAGGAGGATTTCTTCCCTTAAGTTTACAGCTGTGAAATAAAACCTAGGATTCGTGTACTGCTGGGAAGGTTTTGCATCTTGGGCCCAATGGGTTTATGAGAGCCAGGCTGTTGGGCTCTCCACAGGACCACCTCTGCACTCCGCGGGCTGATGAGTGCTCCCTATGTGGTGATGGATGCTCTTCATGTTGTAAGGGTGCTCCTCATGGGGGTACACGTGCTCTCTATGGAGCAGCGATGCCTTCCATGTGCTATGGGTGCTTTCCAAGTGTCATGGGTGTTCCCCATGGCTTGAGGTAGGTTCCCCATGGTCTATCACACACTTCATAGGGCACATGTACACATGCAAGCAGGGGAGCACTTGGGATGTCAGTGATGTCAGGAGGCCAATGTGGCACCTCTACAAAAAGGGCAGGAAGGAAGACCCTGGGAACTACAGGCCTGACCTTGGTGCTGGAGAAGGTCATGGAGCAGATGATCCTAAGTGAGGTCATAAAGCATATGCAGGAAAATGAGGGGATCAGGCCCAGTCAGCATGGGTTCATGAAGGGCAGGTCCTGCTTGACCAACCTCATCTCCTTCTGTGATAAGGTGACCCACCTGGTTGAGGATGGACATTGTGTATTTGGACTTCATTAAAGCATTTGACACTGTCTCCCACAGCATTCTCCTGGACAAATTGGCTGCTCATGGCCTGGATAGGAGGATTCTTCACTGGGTTGGAAACCGGCGGGATGGTCGAGCCCAAAGAGTAGTGGTAAATGGTGTCACATCTAGTTGGTGACTGATCACTAGTGTGCCTCAGGGCTCAGTGTTAGGGCCAGTGTTTAATATCTTCATTGATGATCTGGATGAGAGGATCAAGTGCACCCTCAGTAAATTTGCAGATGACATCAAGCTGGGCAGGAGTGTTGATTTGCTGGAGGGTAGGAAGGGTCTGCAGAGGGATCTGGAGGCTGGGTTGATGTGCTGTGGCCAATGGTGTGAGGTTCAACAATGCAAAGTGCTGGGTCTTGCTCTGGCTGGAAATCTGCTCATTGGAAAAGGACCTGGGGGTGCTGATGGCCACTGAACATGAGCAGCTTGTGACCAGGCAGCCAAGAAGGCCAATGGCATCCTGGCCTCTATCAGCAGTAGTGTGTCCAGCAGGGGCAGGGAAGTGATTGTCCCCTGTACACAGCACTCGTGAGGCTGCATCTCAAATCCTGTGCTCAGTTTTGAGCCCCTCACTACAAGAGAGACATTGAGGTGCTGAAGCAGGTCCAGAGAAGGGCAACAAAGCTGGTGAAGGGTCTGGAGCACAAGTGTGATGGGGAATGGCTGAGGGACCTGGGGTTGTTCAGTCTGGAGAAGGGCAGGCTCAGGGGGGACCTTATCACTCTCTACAACTGCCGGAAAGGAGGCTGTAGTGAGGTGGGAATGGGTCTCCCAAGTAACAAATGATAGGACAAGAGGGAATGGTCTCAAGCTGTGCCAGGGAAGGTTTAGATTGGATATTAGGGAAAATCTCTTCATGGAGAGGGTGATCAGGCATTCGAACAGGCTGCCTGGGAACTGTTGAAGTCACCATCCCTGGAAGTGTTCACAAACCATGTAGATGTGGCATTTAGTGACATGGTTTAGTGGTGGTCATTGCAGTCCTGGAGTAACAGTTTGACTTGATGGTCTTAAAGGTCTTTTCCAACCTACTGATTCTATGGTTCTATGATTCTTGATGCACTGAGAAAAGGGAAATTCTCATCAATAAATAGAAATACTGATCCAAATGGAAAGGGATTGTCCCAGGCAGCTCCAGGCCGGAGCATCGCTGGCTGCAGGAGTGGCTGTGCCAAGCACAAGGGCCCCGTTTGTGAATTAGTGATGCAACACGTCCTGCTGCACACAGGGCGGGTTTGTGTGCCTTGGCAAACAAGAGCCCCGGGCTGGCCACCGGCCTTGCTCTGCACTTTGGCAGTGCTGGGGGGTTTTCTGTCACACCATGACAGCCGGGCAGGAGGGATGGGGTGTGGAGTGGTGCTGCTGGTGCAGGGTGGGACCAGGCGTGCCCGGTGTGGAACAAGGGCAGCATTCATCATAGGGGGGACACAGCAGGACCGGGCTGAGGAGGTGAAATAAAGCCCTTCTGTCCTGCTCCCCGGCTGCGAGCACGTGCACGGGCAGCAGGAGATGCTGCTAGGCAGTTGTAAGCTTCAGTGCTCCCCCAGCACAACCCCTACTTTCTAGGGGGGTTAACAACCTCTTGGCAGCACCTCAGGGCTATTCCTCTTGGTTTGAGCAGCCCCAGCCCCAGATCCAGCCCAGGGACCCACTGGTGGCTGCCCACATGCAACTCATGTGGTGCAAGTGGGGTATCCCTGAACCCCTGTGCTCTCTGGCTGGAGGCTCTGACCCAACCAGCACTCCCCAGATTAAGCTCACCAAGTTAGAAGTCACCTACCCCCCAGGGATGTTTGGGGTCCAAGCTGTGAAAGGGGCCTGCTGGGACCATCCCAGTGCAGGTCTGTGTTAACAGGAACCCAGTGCCAGGAGATCCAGGCTGAAAGGGGAACTTTGGAAGAGCTGAACAACTGCACCAGGCAGAGAACAAACCCAGAGTCCACACAAATCCCAGCACTCCAAGTCATGCTCCCTGCACAGGCTCCCACTTCCCCTTCCTCCATCTCCCACATGGGTGGATGGATGCTTCCAGCAGGGCTTGACTGCCAGGATGATTCACATCTGCAGCTCTAAGCAGTCCCAGGCACGACAGGCAAATGTTGGTTTCACAGAATCACAGAATGGTTTGGGTTGGAAGGGACCTTGAAGCTCATTCAGTTCCAACCCCCTGCAACAGGCAGGGACACCTTCCACTAGACCAGGTTGCTCCCCATCCAACCTGGCCTTGAACACTGCCAGGGATGGGGCAGCCACAGCTTCTCTGGGCAACCTGTGCCAGGGCCTCACCACCCTCACAGGGAAGAACTTCTGCCTCAGATCCCATCTCAATCTGCCCTCTGTCAGTTTAAAGCCGTTCCCCCTTGTCCTGTTCCTATATGCCCTTGACAAAAGCCCCTCTCCAGCTTTCTTGTCAGTCCTTTTAGGCACTGGAAGTTGCTCTAAGGTCACCCCAGCTTTACCAAGCCCGATGCTGGCAGGGCTGTGGCACACCCATCCTGGGGCAGTTCAGCCTGACCAGGAGAGCTCCCTCTGTCCAGCTTCCTCTGGCTCCCGGCTCCCACAGAGAACTCCCACCCATTTACTATGGGCTGTGAGCAGATGCCTTCCCTGACTCCACAGCCGGGTGTTTTGCAGCTCAGTTTCTCCCGCTTTCTCCCTTTGAAACCTCTGCCAAGGCTTTACCCCCTGCCTGTTGCTGGTCCCGGCTGGACTCTGGGGGAACCGCACCAGAACACAGCTTTGTGCTAATGCTTCCCCTGGGCATGAGCCAACTCCTGCCTGGATGGGTGGCTACAACTCCAGGGCTGGGCTTAGTCCAGGATAGAGCGGAGGGCACGCCAGGCTCCCTCAGCTTGCTGATCCTGGGGAATCACCAGTGCATTCCACATCTTTTCCTCCTTCCAGCCCTGGCCAGCAGCAAAATCTGAACATAAGGGAGCAGGATATGCAGCACAGCCAGAACAGTTGTGTCAAGTCACACAGGCCAACATGCCTCAGGTAAAAGCCATTGCTTAAGACGGCTGAGCTGTCACAGCAGGCCATCCACCTCTTTAAGGGTGGGAAATGAAGTAGGGGGCGGGGGGTGACTTGTTTTCAGCAGTGCAAAGCATTACCAGCAGAATAGTTCAGAGTTCCAGTTCAGAGAAGCTGTGGCTGCCCCATCCCTGGCAGGGATCAAGGGCAGGCTGGACAGGGCTTGAAGTAACCTGCTCGAGGGAAAGGTGTCCCTGCCCATGGCAGGGGATTGGAACTGCATGAGCTTTAAGGTCCCTTCCAACCCAAACCAGTCTGATTCAAGACCAATGCCCTCCCAGACCAGGAATAGACATCCTGCCCTATTAGGCATGTGGAGATCCTGATTCAGAGCTTGAAACTCAAGGCAAGAATAACCTGACCTGCAGGAGTTTTGTAATCCTGTTGTTTGCCCAGTATTATTTACCCTTCACTACTGAAGCAAGCCCAAGGAACAGACCTGAGGCTCAGGCAGCACTTACTGAAGAACCTGAATCAACCCATCCTCCTACCTGCCACTCACCCAGCCAAAGACAGGGCAGAGACAACACCCTTTATACTCAGTGAGCCTCTGCCCAACAGGTCAGCCCCAGAGAAAAGCATGCTCAGGCTCAGGGCAGGCCTGTGTACACATGCTAAGCAGCTATGGTGTTGCTTGAAGGATTCAGAGAGGAAACAAAACCTGGGGAGCAAGGGGGAGTGTGATCTGTTGATGAGAGAGCAATCATCCAAAAAGCCAGCTCTTGCTTCACAGTAAGAAAACCGATGGCAGGTCAGCAGTCTATAGAGGAAGCAGCACTCCTGTTGTCTCCAGCCACACTACAGTCCCCTCTGATAACCACCCAAAGCCTCAGGGTTTGGGGTAGATTGCTCTCTAACCTGCATGATACACCTTCCACCTTACAGATCCCAGCCTGTGAAATGGTCCAGAGGGGAAAACACACAAACTGAAGTGTTTAAAAAGACAGACTTCATACTTCCCACCCCCTTCTTCCCCCCTCCCCCGCCAAAAAAAAAGAAACCTGCTAATTCACATGTCCTACCCTAAGTGGGATCAGCAGAAAGAACATCCTGTGTGAAGTGATGGGACTGCTGCAGAAGCTCAAGAGACACCCTGAAGCAATTAAGGGACTCCAGCAGAAGCC